ATGATACGATGAAAGGACTTCTCAATTGGTCACCCAACTTAATGCTACTTTTGGCCAAGCAAGCTTAACCGTGGAATTTCGATTGGATACAATGGCATTAGTATTGGTATGATCGCACCCAAGCTCACTACACTTCAAACCAAATTTTTTGGCTTCCTCACTCAAACTTCATCTCGGTAACCTAATTCCTTGTTGTTTTATCATCATTTTAAGTTTACCCAAGCATCATATCATCTCATCTCATATCAAGAGTTATTAAATTCAAAATCAACAGTAACACAATTGAAATTTTGTTAAGTCCAAGACAAAATTTGTAAATTATTATAAAACTTAACAGCTTTCTCTGTCGTTATTTCTCCACAGTTTTAAACAGTATGAAAAATTGTAAATTAAAATGGAAATCTGACTCAAGTATCTAAAACATCAACAACAAAGAGAACTCTGATTCAACATTACCTTTGCAACATCAAGAGGATTTACAATTACAGCCGAAAGAAAGGCAGCTCCAGCAGCAGAGAAAGCGCGTTCTCCAAACCCTAATTTTCCATCAGAAGCAGTATGACTCGAAAGCTGAGACGCAGAAGCAGAAAGTCGCACCCCATCACTCTTCACAGCCAACATCGAAGAATCACACCCGTCAATCTCAATTCTCTGAGCTTCCTCCTCCAAGCCAATCCAAGAATCATGCCCTCGCTCCGATTTCACCATCCTCTACGCCAACGAGTTCATCCTGCACCAATCGAACAATCGCTTCTCAAATGAAAAAAATAACAACACCAACAAAAGAGCAGAAACCTGATTGCGTTAATGATTAGAACACAGGAATTGCGATTGAAATATGAATTTGGAGAGTGGAAAAAGGTAAAGAAATGAGTTCTCCAAATTCCTTGGAGAACAGGAAAAATGGAGGAGGTCTTACCAGACGGAAGAGGAACAGGAGAAGAAGAGAAGAACAACCTAAATTTCTCTTTCCACATATTTATTTTTTTCGCTTTACATTTTTTAATATTCCATTTTAATTTAAAAAATATATATTTAAATTTAGTTCGGACTATTTTTCCATAAGAGCTTAAACTTTTCAAAAACCTACTCGAGAAAAAAATCAGAGCTTAAACTGATTAAGGCATACATACTCGAGAAAAAGATCAGAGCTTAAACTTTTCACGTCGACAACTACAACTTGTTGGACTCGAAAGAAGAAAATCCAATTTTAATTGGCGTATGGAGAGGTGTGGAAATAGGAGGTGAAAAATCAAACAAATGTCGCTTTCAAGTTTTTGAGTGGCCAAACGGCAGCCACACGCTATGGAAACAATCGGGAGTCAATAGGCTTGCATTTGAAACTCTCCACTTATTTTCAAGCTTGCAATTGGGAGCTAGGGTTCATACTCTTACAGTTTCAACGACATAGTCACATAATTTACTTCACTTATAAGAGTGAAGACTATACCAATATAAATTGTTCTAGTAAAATTTAATGTCTTTGTTTTTGCTGGCAATAGAGGTGTACATGAGCCCGATTGAGTTGGGTTGAAGGAGTTTTTTGGACTATCTCTCGGTCACCTTCTCCTCTCTCCCACGAAGTTTCGTAGTTGTTGGATGTTCGTGGAGGTAGATTGAGAATTCTTAAAATTTGATTTTTCGTAATCCCTCTTTGACGGCGACGATGACGAATCATGGTGTGAATTCTCTCTGGAGGGAATATACTTAGGTCGATGAGGGCTTTCACGGTTGATTTGCTCAGTTTAGATGCAAGGTTGAGGGTTTGAAGTCGCGGGTTTTCTCACTAGAGTTTTTCTTCGGTTTTTTCTCTCTCTTTCGGATTCTTTTTTTATCTCTTCGTTGTAGTGGTCTAAGAGACTTGGGCTGATTACTAACATTCGTGTGGCGATGGTTGAAGGTCGAGGAGGCATTGTGAGGGGTCGGAGAACATGATTTCAGGCAGTCCGCTAGTTTTCTGGCGACTAAGTTTTTTTTTATTCCGATTCATTACAATAGAATTGAATGTAAATGAAAACAAAAAAAAAAAAAAAAAAAAAAAAAAAAAAAAAAAAAAAAAAAAAAAAAAAAAAAAAAAAAAAAAAAAAAAAAAAAAAAAAAAAAAAAAAAAAAAAAAAAAAAAAAAAAAATATATATATATATATATATATATATAGTTACTTGCACACACTTGTTTATTATTAAATGAATAATTGGTTTATTTTAATTATAAAATAAAAATAAAGAAGAGTTGTTAAGAATAGCATTAGGATTGAGTGCAGAGAGCCCCACAGTAAGATCACGTGCACCACCTGACCGCCTCAAGTGGATAGTGGGGTCCAGTGGGTCGCACGCCCAAGGGGACAGCCAATGGGAGCTTCTGGAGTGGGCCCCGCTCTGTTTAAATTTATGGTCAGGCGCTATACACGTGACACGTTGAGGAGGACCGACCGCCCCTAAAATTCTCGAGCAAAAAAAAGAAAATAAATTTTAAATTTCTTATTTACGTATTTATTACGTATTTATTACGTACTTAAAGTTTAATATATATATATATATATATTAATTTAAATTTTAATAAGTCACTAAATATTTATTTTTAATAGGTTATTAACATATTTTACGTTTTTTTTTAACACATATTCCAAAATTTAAAGCTTAGGATTTTATTAAACTATTTTTTAAATTATAAAATATCGAATATATTAATAAATTCTTATATATAAATTAAAAGTTCAAAATTCAATGGACGTTTTTGACCGATTACAAACAAAAATAAAAAATTTAAAACTAAATTTATAATTCAATGGATTGAAGTAATAAATTTTATAAATTATTAAGATAAAAAAAAATATTAAGAAGAAATTACCTATTTTGATATAATTTTTTTCATTAAACTTCGAAAATATCCATTTTCGTTCTCAAATTTTGAATTTTAATTTATTTTAATCTACAAACTATTAAAATATTCATTTTAATCCTTACTATATTATTATTTTTATCTAATATGTATTTATCCATTACTTATGTAAATTGAAATATGTATATTTAAAATTAGGTCGTTAAATTTACAATAAAGATAAAAGATTAAAATCAAATGATCTCAAAGTTGTAAATGAATCATAGATCAACCAACACGGTCTATAGCAACGACGACGTCTAATCTGATTAAAAGATTTTATGTCTATTCGTATACGTTCACTTAATTTATAAATGCATGTTAAACATCTCGTTATAAAATCATTTTAAAGGAAAGTAAGATTTGGAACACTTGTTTAAAATTCGAATTACTCAATAACCAAAAGCAATCCAGTCAAATTTAAATGTTTCTAAACTACATAAAATTATTAAAAGTATTTATAAAAATAAATAGAATTTCAATGTAAAATTTAGGGATATTTTAATGTAATTAATGTTAGATGAAAGTCCCACCTCGACTATTTTAAGAAATGTTCATAAATTTATAATCAATTAATACTATCTCCGATAATATGAGACTTTTTAGGAAGCCTAATTAATGTATTCATGTACATCATATATATATATATCATGTACATCTAGCAGTGGGACTTTTGTTGTTGCACATCCTCTAGCTCGACTATATTAGTCGCGGGATTAGACTGATTCACTCTGCGTAGATTGACTAAACGTAGACAGCCTTCCACTGACAGCAATTTTCTTTCTCGTTATCGTTTTACTAATAAGATAGAAAAGGCAAGCCAAAACCAACTCTTAAAAAGTTGCTAAACTCGTCTCTTAGAGTTAGTTTGTGAGATCCCACATCAATTGGAGAGAGTAATAATGCCACGAGGACACTGGACCTTGAAGGGGGTGGACTGTAAGATCCCACGTCGATTGGAGAGAGAACGAGTACTGGCGAGAATATTAGTCTCGAATGGAGGTAGATTGTGAGATCCCGCATCAATAGGAGAGAAAAATAAAGTCTCGAATAAACTTAAAAAAGATAATATTGCTAGCAGTGGGCTTGAGCCGTTCTAATATATAAAAACCAAATATTTAATATATATATTTTTAATCATATATGTTAGGTGGTCAATAATTTCATGCGACCATGCCTTACTTTTTATTATTATTATTATTATTTTGTCCTTTGTCCTTATTGACTTTTCACTGGAAATTTTTAGAAAGCCCTCCTTAAGAAAATAATTAAATATACTAATAATATTAATAATATTAGTAATTAGTAATAATATATATTAATGCTATATAAAATATTAACATTAAATTAATCAAAATAATAAAAAAAATGTTGATTTTAAATAACTTAGAGTCAAATTAGGTTGACTTTTTATTATTATTAATTAATTATAATGGTTCAAGACAACTAATTCACAGTTGTATTTTAAATTTACATATTTAGAATGTCTTTCTTTTTCTTTTTTGTTTTAAATTTTTTTTATAAATCTTCGATATTAAAAATAAGCTTGGAAGTTAGATACTCCAGAGATAGGCAAGCGTGTAGAAGATTTCTAATATATAATGAAATAATTAAAGTAAATTAAAAAAAAAAAAAAAAAAATATATATATATATATATATATATATATAATTTATTAGATGGTGACGATTTTTCTTTTGAATTTAGGAGTCTAATTTTTTTTCTAGAGAACTCTGTAGTGAGTAGATATGTATCTGTTCGATGATAAAGTCTCACATCGACTACTTTAGGGAATGTTCATGAATTTATAATCAAAGAATACTTTTCTCCATTGGTACGAGGCAATTTGGGGAAGTCCAAAACAAAGTCATGAGAGCTTATGTTCAAAGTGGATGATATCATATGATTGATAAAAGTGGCTCAATTATATAAAATCTTAGTTTAAACTCTTTAAATTATTGCAAAATATAAACACAAACATAATCAAACCAAAACAAAACAGCTCTATTATTACAAGAGATATAGTTATACAAAAAAAAAAACAAAAGTTTAAAAGTAAAAAAAGTATTATTCAAAAATTGGAATAGCTAAAAAAAGAAAAAAGAAAAAAAAAAAACAAAAAAGATAGATTCTATTGCGGCGGCCGGAAGAAAATCTGCCAGAAAATCGGCAGGCTGGCGGCATCACATTACCCGATGACTCTGCAGCGAATTCCTCATAGGACCACCAAAGGATCCGACCCCATCAAAATTTCTTCAAAATAATCTTCTTCTTCTACTTTTTTATTGCACTCCGCCGCTGCCACCGTTTCCCCCGAGCCGCCTCCGCCGCCGGCCCATGGAGTTTCCGGTATGGGATTTGCTTGGTACTCGAGAAAAAAAGGCGGTTCCAAAATAATCGATTTGAATATGTCGTCGGAGAAGAGAAAATCTACTACCGGAGATACGTCGGCGGCGGCGCCGTTTACGGTGCCCCGGTCCGACGGCAAGCATTCGACGAGGTGGGTTCTGTAATGGAGGACCGATGTCGGAGAAGAGAGATTTGTCGAAGACGATGGGTCGTCGCAAGAAAATGGCGGCGGCGGCGGCGGCGGAGTGGGAAAGTTGGTTAAAGCTGTTGGTCCTCGGAGCTTCACGGCAGCGCTGTCGTACGCTATAGCGGCCTCCTCTGCTGTGTCGTAAGTCCCTAACCACATCCGTACACGGCGGTCAGAGTCCCGAATCTCGGCCGCCCATTTTCCCCACGGCCGCCGCCGGACGCCGCGAAACTTCCTCACGTTACCCGCCTGCTTCTTCTTTTTCCTTTTCTTCTTCCGGCCACCATCGTCCGCCGCCGTGCCGATGGTGATCTCGCCAACATACCGCTTCACACGGCGGCGCGTGAAATTCACCGCATCTTCGTCACTGGATGACGAGTCCGTAGCGTCCGGGTCAGTCATTGAAATCCGAACAATTCTCGAACCGACGTTCGTCCGGCTGGCGAAGTTTCCAGGTTTCCGAAGAATGGTCGGAGCTTCCATGGCGGAATCTCCGAAATTTGTTCTAGAGAGAGAAACCGACTGAAAAAAGAGAGAGAGAGAGTAAAGAGAATTAAAAAGTGGCTAAAAAGATAAGAAGAAGAAGAAGAAGAAGAAGAAGAAGAAGAAAAGGTTCTGGCATGGAAAGAAAAAATTACAGTAGAGAGAGAGAGAGAAGTGGCATAGAAGAAGAAAGGTCAGAGATTGAAAAGAAAGATGAGATTTTGAGAGGTGGGATTTGTTGTACTCATTTTGTTCATCGAAATTTCATAACCAAAGTGAAGAACAGTGGAGAGAAATTGAAGAAATCGAAGGTTGCAAAGTGTAATAATTAGGAATGGTGTTTTTTGAGTGTGTTGGAATTTGTTTATATAAATTTAGTATTCAATATTCATGTCCCAAAATCCAAATTTGGTAACCTTAATAATAATAAAAAATGCAAATTTTTAGAAATTATGTTATTATATTATACATAATTAGGTTTATAGAAATGTTTATTAGCAACGTGTAGACCAAGAAATTAAAGTGAGATGGACACTAAGACAGGTGCTACGATTTGAAGTGTACGTATTTTATTATTTTATAAATAACTAATAACCATTTTATTCTAATATTTTTTTAAAAATTTAATTAATTTTTTTTATTTCTCTTTGAAAATTTAAACTTTTAAAAATTTATTACAGACTTAACGAACTAATTTCAAAGAAAAATACGGTAAATTAAAAAAAATATATATATATAAAAGAAAATAATAAAAAAATTAGAAAAAAATGAGAGAGAGAGAGAGAGAGACCGTACATCTCTGGGGTGTTTGTGGAGGGGCTCTTTTACCGAGATACCCCTACACAACCCCCAACGTCCCTTTATTATTCGTGTCCTCTTCCTCTTTTGCCCACAATCTTTTTTTCTTTCCTTTTTTACTTTATTTTCTCGAACAAATTTACTTTTTTATATCAAGATTTGACTAAGATCGATCATGTCTAGCTTAAATTATTTTTTTTTGTTGATCAAATATCTAAGATAAGAACACTTAATTGAGATTCGAATCACTCCATAACTCAGATTGATCATGTCTAGCTTGAATAATTCTACCTACAACCTAAACTACATAAAATTGCAAAAATATATTAACCAAGTACTATATTTTATCTGTTATAGCTTTGAAAAGCCATAAACCAAAGTTTGTCCTTTCTAAAGTTTATCTCGACGTTTAAACTAGAAGAACCCCGAAAGAAAATATTTTAAATATTTAATAGAAACAATTATTAAAGTTATAAATAAAATGGAAATAAGCAAGATCTCGTATAATTATTGTACTTGACCCTATTGGACTAGTGTTGATCTCATTCATCATACCATATTGAGCTGACAACGCTCTCATATTTGCCAATATTCAACTTTTTCTAATAAAATGGTAGTGCATCTCCACATGCTTTGTTCTAGTATAAAATATCGAGTTTTTTACTAAGTAAAGCGCAAATTGGTTGTCACAGTGATGCGGTATTAGATAGTTAACTTTCTGGTGCAAATCCTTCATTAAGAGTTTCAGCCACATACTTTTAGTCGATGCTTTGTACTTCACTTTGTAGTTGACAATGATATTATTGGTTGTCTTCTGATGCCCTAAGAAACTGTTCCCGAACTGTGCTTAAACAATACCTAGTACTTAATCTTTGGGTATCATGGTCTTCTGCATAGTTAACATCACAACATCCAACTAGCTTGCAGTCTTAGCTTCTTTTATACAAAAGATTGTAGTCGATTGTACCTTTGACATATCTCAAGATATGTCATTCAAATGGAGCTTCTTCGGACTTTGCACGTACTGACTAATGACTCCAATTATATTCTCAAATCTCTTTGGTTGGTTCATGTAGATTTTGTGGTCCAACTTTGTGTAAGAAATCATTTTTCACATCCATCTACCATAATTTCCAATTTTTATATGTTGCAAGTATTAGCGGGACCTATTGGTAGTGATTCATCATAGTCTACATATTGTTGCGAGAACCCTTAAACTACAAGTCGAGCCTTATATCTCTCGATTGATCCATTTGGACGATGCTTTATTTTGTAAACTCACTTGCAAGATATGTGTTTGACATCTCTTAGTCTTGACACTGGTTCCGAGGTTTGATTTTTCTCCAAGGCTATAATTTCTTCCTCCATCGTTTTTTGTCAAGTTGAGTTTTGTGATGCTTCTTCATCTTCTATAATAACCACGTTGGCATACTTTTTATTTGGCTTTCAAACTCTTTATGATCGTCTATGTTGTTGAGGTGTGGTTTCCTTTTCACTGGGTTAGCTTGGTTAAGTCACTTCTTGCTCACCAACATTAGTGTCACTTGGATCTTCACTTGACCGAAGGTGTGTCGTTTGCTCCCCCCATCTTCTGTTGTAGAATTTCTTCAATGTTGTTCGAGTCTTGTAAGATTTTCTCTTGATCGACAATCATGTGATTTGAGCATCCTGAACCAATGATTCAGTCATTTTCATAACCAGTATGCTCTCCTATCATCGCTATGAGTGCTAACACGTCCTTTTCTAATGAGCATAGTACATTTGCATCTCACTCCTCCTCTATTTCGTTTTTGGAGGTTGCCACATTACTTTTGATTGACTTTTTCTTTGACCAATAATTCTGACTTGTGACTCTTCTTTTGCAAATGCCTTCAATTCTCTTTCCTTGAGAACTTTTGTTGTTATTGTACTGTGTTCTCGAGGGTTGTATTTCACTTTTAGTTGACGATTTATTGTTGTTTCGACTTTCATTTGTGAAGAGCGCTCCTTTTTCTCCCTTGAGCGTAATGCCTCCCATTTACTTAGTCATGACTTCTTGACTCGTTAGCAAATTTTTGAACTCTACAAGTGATGGTTGACCGAGCTATCCTAGTACTGCAATAATGAAGTTTCTATATTCTGGTCACAATCAGTGGATGATGATTCTCTTCATTCGAGCTTCTTGAATGAAGAACTCTAAATCTAGTTCAGTAATCTCTTGACAAATCGACTTGACCATGTGGAAATATTGAGCAATCGTTATGTCAAATCGTGAGATTGATAATAGTTCGTTCTCCAAAATTACCTTGAATCGTTCTTCTTTAAAAGAACTTGTTTTAAAACTTTTATTTATCCACAATTCATAATAAAAAAATTTCAAACAAACCAACACAGTTCTAAAAGTTGACCAATAAAACATAGATTAATCCATAATTATTCAAACAAACAATTAACGGAAGCTTTAAGTAAAATGTCTCACACCAATAAAGATAGTATTATTTGATTATAAACTCATAATCATTCCCTAAAATAGGATTCGAACTTAAGCGTGAGAGATTTCAAATACTATCCAAATACCAATGAGCAATATATTTTGTAAGAGTAGGTCAACTTGAAATTTAATCCAAAGAATTCAAAACTTGAACTGAATCTATTGGATTCTAGAAAATTAATCCAATTCAATTCGTAATAATATCTAACCCAATCCAACCCGTTCGATGTCTTGCCATCCCAAATGTGTTCCAACATCTCTTTTTTTACTATGGTCTTCAAAGCAAACATTACTTTATCTGCTTTGATTCTTCATTTGTGAAAGGAGCCATCAGCAACTTCTGGTAGAAGCGTAATGTTGCTTCTGCCAATGACTTCCCAAAGGTCTTGTCATTGTAGATAGAATGTCATGCATGTGGCCCACATGTTGTAGTTGTTGCTATTAAGTTTCTTTATTTCTACGGCGATTTGGAGATCACTCATCGTGTTAGCAGTACCTTAGTAATGCCAAATCGTCGTAGAAATATACAATAATCTCAAGAAAGCGTTTCTGACATGGAAAATCAGATTGAACTATAACCATAGAGCATCCTATGAATTCCAAGATATTAGTTATCTATACCAACCTTTTCAAGATATTTGATTATCCATACCAATCTTGTTCTAATACGAGATTGTCGAACACAACTCTTTAGTGGGAAACACTCACACCTTTATTAAAATCAATTAAGAAAAAATTGTAAGACATAGACGACAAAATGTCTAAATTTTTATTCTTAAAAATACGTAAATATTTTTATTCATAAAATATCTAAATTTTTTTCTTAATAAAATAAAATAAAAATCTAAAATGTAAAATAAAATAAACCTTTTTAAAATTTAGAATAAAAAATAAAAATTGATATTCATATAAAATGCTTCATTTCAACATAGCCCATAGGCAGTGACCGCAATTTCTCGTTTCAGAAGTTGAGGGTTCGAGAGAGAAACCCCTTTTTTCTCTCGCTGAACCCCGACTTCGAACGATTTCAATGGACTCCAGATCCCGGAGGCGGGTTCACATCGACGATCGAGCTCCGTCGGCCGGAGCTGTGGAACGACAGGACATATCCGGAAACGCCGACGATGTGCAAGGATTGAAATTGCGACCCTCCGATGGGAATGTGACCGAAGATCAGGAGCCATTCATGGGCATCAAGGTCCGTCGAAAAGCCTCTCTCCATCGTGATTACAAGGGGGATTACATTGATGTGCCCTCGAACCAATTCTTGATGAAAATCTTGAAAAAACAAGGTTAGATTTGTACCTACCGCGTTGATATGCCATTATTTACGGTGTTTTTACTGTATTTCGTCTGTGAAATTTGTAACTGTAGTTGATTGATTTGACGTTGTTCATCCTTGTTTTTGAAATTGTATGTCGATGATAGTTTTTCATATCCGGAATTGCGAATCTATTACTTTCTTAGAGGACTTTGAACCAGAGACCTCGCCCTCGCCCGTGAAGTAAATCATCGCATAATAAGGGGGAGATGCTTGCTTTAGCATGTTTGAAATTATTGTCTATTTGGACACCTTGTATTATGTAATTCCTAAGAATATAATGCATTCCTCTGTATTATTTAGTTTCCTTTCTGAATTTATGAAGAAATAGAATTCATTTAAGCTGGCTACTAAGCATTTTGTATGAGTGTTTAGTGCGGATGAAAATATGAGAGCTTTTGTTGGGTTGTATTTTGTTGGATTTACTTGGACTCTTTTGTTTACAATTTTGTTCTCGGTTTTCTGTTTTTGGAAATTATGTTTATTTCCTCACAACTTCATTACTATGGTTTTAAGAGAAACATTTGAATTCTTAGCTTAATTTAAAAATAAAACATAAGTTCTTAAAAACTATTTGTTTTAGTTTTTCAAAACTTGGAATGGATTTTGAAAACTTTGTTGTAAAGTAGATAACAAAGAAAATAAATCCATCGGAAACCAAAAACCAAATGTTCATCAAATAGGCGGTTAACATTTCTTCCAATGGCCCTTGCTCTTGCCGAATATTATGGTTTATGTTGCTCCATAGCAGCCGTTTTGAATTGGTGCATCATTCATACATGGGAAAATGAATTGGTGTGTCGTTTTGAATATTATGGCTTCTTCCAACGGCCCCTACTCTTGCATTCTATCTCATAATCCATAACCAATTCTACCATGTGTGTTATGCGTGCAGGTGAACAGAGTGTGCTTTTTTCTGATAAAGTTATGAAATTCACTGCTACTGGGAAAATGAAAAGGCGGATTCTTTTAATAACGGAGTTCGCTATCTACATCATTGACCCAGAAACTGATACCCTTAAAAGGAGGATTGCCTTGGCTGCTGTAGATAAGATATGTTTAAGCGAACTGAGCGATAACTTTCTTGCATTTATAATTCCAACGGAATATGATATACTGATGGCAAGTACTCGGAAAACAGAGATTGTAACAGTTTTGGTTGAAGCGTTCAAGAGTTCCTCTGATTATGAACTTGAGGTTGTATTCTCCAACAGGTAAATTACATTATCTTTTATATTTATAACTCCCATTTCGAACTGAATAAAACAGTTAATGCGATTTTGCTATTTATTTGAGCATATTGCACGAATTGTGAAGGGAGGGAGGCTGCATGAGAATGAGATTGCCTAGAATGTTGAACTTTTGACATAATTGTAAAATTTTCCATTTTGCCTTTGACGAGGAGAGTTCTATTGCTCGATTTAGAGCACATCGTTCTCTGAACTTATTTTGTTACCATTTTAGACATCCATAATTTTTCTTTGTTCACAAGCTTTTCTACTTGTTGAGTTGTGTTATTTGTGTGCTTTTTCTAATTATGTGTTACATTCTTGTAGGTTTGGATACAATGCAGGTGGTGAACTGTTAAAAGAAGTTCAATTCGAGGAAGTCGAAGGTATGAATAGCATTTCTTAGAGTAGAATAGTGTCCCGTAAATTATTTGATGTTCTTTAATATGCATTATTCTCTTAATTTTAAAATTCAAAACTAAAGTTTTATTTGAAAAATGAAAACTAATTTGTTAAAATAAATTATTTTTGAAGTTTTTATAGAAATTTAGCAAGGAAAACTTACATAAACACATGTTCCTCAAAAACTAGAAAAAATTTGAAGGTGGAACTATTTCGATCAAATTCTAAAGTTCTTTTATTTGTTCCACAACATACAGGCGGTGTGAAAACAAGAATTTTAAGGAAGCAGGATTGATTTATGATTGCTTTATTTGTGAGTTTCTGATAGAAGCAGATTGATCTTTCTCTTCTTTTAGAAGAAAAAGGTTTGTCAGCCAGTTTAGTGCTTGGTGAAATTGAAAAATTGTATTCCTATGGCTTAATGCAAAGTTTTAGAATGATTTTGTGGTTGTTTTGAAGTGTATTGGTTATTGTAATTGTTCATTGTACAAAACTAGACTCGGGATCTTTGGAATTTGATTTTGTAGATTCTTGAACTGTTTGAATGGAAATGGATTGAAAATTGTATTGATATAAGAAACAGGAAAGTTGCAGTACCCAAAGCTTTTACTTTCTGTTCGAGGACTAGTTCGAGCAAGTCTAGAATGAACCCGTTGAATGTTGGTTTAGTAGAGTTGGGACTTTTAAGAGAGATAACCAAACAAGAAGTTGCAATGGAACAAGTGATGTTTAATACTTCTTTTTTTCACGTTGGTCGCTAGAACATCTTGTAATTATGACATTAGTCTCATTCTTTTAGCCTCGACTCATTTTTATAGCTAGTGTTAAACTCTTGGTCTTTTGTATGCTTTCATTTTTCAATTTCAATTTTGATAGTCTATAAGTTTGTAAGCTTTTAATTTAAGATTTCAAAACAAGTACGAATTTTAATGTTATGTTTATTAAATTTATATTTTTTAAAAAATAGTAAATATATGATTGAGGAAGTTAAATTGATTTAGTCTTGAAATTTAGTTTCAAAAGTTGTTTATGACATTGTTTTAAAACAATTTAAACTTTTAGGTTGTATTAATTGAAATCTTAAATTAATAACCCCTCTGTTCTAATTTCATTTTAAACCGTATAACTTTCTGCAAATATTTTAGAGAATAATAATTTTATATAAACGATTTTGAGTGGATTTTAAATGAAATGGAGTGAAAATAGCTACAAATCCCTAATAAATTATCTAATGTAGTTTAATCTAGGATTTTCTCTCTTTTTTAATATTTAAATGTAATATATTAAATTTAAACTCAATTCTAAAATCAAATAGAGAAAAAAAAAAAAAAAAAAAAAAA